AAGATTCCTGAACTTATATCTATTGACATATTTTGCGTGACTAAGTTGGAAGATGTGAGGGTAATTGACCAAAACCAATTGTTAAACGTATCTTTGTTATTATAGATATGATTTTTCATAAGATATAATAATGATAAGATTATTAGAGAGTTAATGTAACATGATTTTCTAGTAATAGTCCATTTTTTAAAAAATCACACATGAAGTCAAATTATGACTTCTGTTTTAATATATAAGACTAGATTTTGACCCGCGCAACCGCGCGGGTGTTTGTTTTCGTTTATAGTTAATTATATAAATATTTTATTTTCATTTACAAATTGGTATTTATTATAGTAATTAAATATTTATAATGTGTATAGTAAATGTTTTGCAAACATAATAATATTATATAATACATGTTTTAATCAAATAGATTGTTTCAAGTTTTCTATATTATACATGTTTTTCAAATATGTGTTTGTTTCTTCTTCTGTATTTTATTGTTTGTTAGATTAGTATTTCATATTTAAATAAAGTAACATAAATAGAGATTGATTAAATATTATTATACTTTAATTTGCAAAGTTAATAAATTATATCGAAGGTGTGGGGTAATTTACCCAAACTAAATATATCTATTGACATATTTTGCGTTATCGGATGGTGAATATTCTGTTAAATCTATTCCACATATATATAAATATTCCATATTACGAATCTGTGATTTTTGTTAATATATTGTGGATGCATTTAACTATTATTGATATATTTCCTTATAAATAATAGAAAAATTCATAAACTTATATCTATTGACATATTTTGCGTGACTAAGTTGGAAGGTGTGGGATAATTTACCCAAACCAATTTTTTAAGCATATGGTTGTTATTATAGATATGATTTTTCATAAGATATAATAATGATAAGATTAGAGAGTTTAATATAACCCTCCTTTCTAGGAATAAGTCCAAAATTTAAAAAATCACACATGAATTCAAGTTATGACTTCTGTTTTAATATATAAGATTATTAAGTAGCAACCGAGGCGTGAATTTTATGCTGTTACCAGTAATACCATTATCAAATACTCCAGTTGACTAAGCTAGTTTTAGTACGCTAAAACATATTTACTTGCATAAATTGTCGTAAGAAAAAACATTAATATATTATATTATTACCATTTTTCTTGCTTGTCAAAGCATCCATTGATCTACTATATTTCTTGAGTTACAAAACAGTTGTACACTGTGGAACACACCTAATTACGTAAATCACATTAAGTTATCAGAGTGTATTCCTGATCATTAAGTAATAGACAGTAATACGAACTGATAATCAGATTATAATAAAGTTGGTAAATTAAGCTAATTAATTCAATTTTAATGAAAGTCTCACGTGGAAGACACCTAATTGCGCAAATCACATCGTGCTTACTGCCTAAGCTTTTCTAATAAACCCAATTAATGGTCCCTACCCACCATCGTGTAAGTGAATTTTCGATCTCTATAACGTCAGTAAATGCTTTTTTTCTTTTAACTTTACGTCAAGTAAATGTTAAATCATTCTTAGGTAATATAGTTTTAATTAAGCCTCCTAAATAAGTTAACAACCATTTATAGGTTTATATTGTTTGTTTTCTGATTATGTATTTTGAGATCAAGAGAGTTGGAGGTGAAGACTAATGTGAAAACTTTTATTTTGGAGGGGGCGGGGAGACATGTGGGTTAATTAATGATTAAGTGGGTGCTTTGAGGACCATTAAGACGGCCTAGTTGGAGACAAATTAAGCTAACGACAAACTAAAGCTCAAAAGAAACATCACATGATTTAAGGGTTCCTTCCATGAGGAATCTCATTTAACGGTATATTTATCTCTGCCTAGTCTCATTACGTATACACACATTTTCTATATACAGTCACACTCTCTTGGGTTTTAAACATGGGATCACCACTAAAATATGAAAATGTCAATATGTATACTTTGTTTGAAATTGATATTGCTCTAAACATGGACTAGTAATAGTGAGGTTGTGTTAAAGTAATAGTCTACAAAACATGGAGTAGTAATTGATATTTGTATAATATTATATGTGTGTGTGAGAGAGACTGTTTTAAGGTGATTACCTGATATGATATTAATGTTTTGTTTAAATAAATTTGTGGTGTTTATTTTGACCAAAAAAATAAAAATTTGTGGTGTTTATTTTTAGATTTAGTTTAGGAATAACAGGTACCGAAGTGAAACCAAATGTAACATATAATAAATCCTCTATATATTAATTGAGAAACATTTGAAAAGATATAACCCCAAGTTTGTAATAATTAAAAAGTAATCTTGCTTAGTTGTCAATCAATTAGCATATCAATTAAACTGACGTGGCAGCTTTAGGTTCAATTGGAAAAATAATGTAGAAACGAAATCCCCTATATATTTTGTTAGGGAAACAATAATTACACACGCATGTAACGCATGTAACCGAGTTTACATTAAAATTAAAGGCGATGGGAGAAAGATTAGAACAAGTTATAGTTTTTTTAATTGGGCTTCTTTCTTTTTGTTTAATTTTGGTTGGGCTTTATATATTTAATTTGTGAATTGTCGTTAGTCCATAACCTCAAAAAATGCCTAACATATATGATCACATAAAAATATGTCCAAACATGACAAGTTGCATTCTTATTATTATCAACTAAAAAAAAAATGTCAGAAAACCAACCTATAAAAACCTGATATTAACTTCTATATTTTAATAACTAAAATACCGAAAAATCAAACCGAACCGAAACCCAATACTAAATTGAACACTCCTCATCCAAATGAAACCGAACTATTATTTCATTTTCCAAAACATAATAAAAATAATTACTTCACTCCGCGCAAGGCGCGGGTCTTATCCTAGTTTGGTACTATTTGGTTTGGCTTCAGTTTTATTTTTTTATCCTAACATATAATAAACTATACATAAAATAAAATATTGGAGTATTTTGTTCAATTTATATGTAGGATTTAGAAAGAAACACTGATTTTAAACTAAATGTTAAACATTGTATGAATGGAATCTTGCATTATAAACAGCAATGACCTTCTCAAATTAAAATACAAAATATATTGGTATGTGCAATAATATGTTAATCATCCAACTTTCCAGGAGCTCGTCAAGGGTCAAATTCAATTAAAATTGTTAAAATATTTTGAACGTTACTCTCTCTTTTGCTATTGGCTCATCAGAATGTTTCCAGACAGCATTTGTCTTGACTTCTGCCAAACAGCAATTTATATAGTTAATTATCTCCTCTTAAGAATATTACTATAATACTTAACCGCAAGATAACCTAAAATATAAGAAGACATGTATTTTTCTAATCAGGTTTTGCTTTCCCAGATACAGTACTTATCCGAAGATACATTGTAATTCTTTAATCATTTCTCATCCTTACTCATATTTATAAACAAAAAAACATTCTGGAAAACGAAATAGATAACCAGGACATCTTGATCCAGTCATAAAACTCAAGAAATTTTATGGGTCTGGACAAATGAATGGGGCCTTGTAGCCCAATAGATTTTAGACCCATTTATTGATGTCATTAGCATAAACGAATAAAACTATAAACGTATCAGAAACAATCATTGTTTCTTAATTGTCTTCTTTTTCTTTGAGAAAATTGTTTCTTAATTGTCCCTTTCAACTTTCAAAACTATTCCTTCTAGAAAATGTTTCAGTTGAAGTTGCACTCCTACGATCTCTAATTCGATGCAAGAGTATATGTTGTCAACTCTTAAGATCATCGTCTCATTAGCTATGCTATTTAGCCTTGATAAAAGAATACATATATGATAATTAACTCAAAGAAACTACAAAAGTGATTTGCTTTAAAAAAGAAAACAGCACTTGTACATTAAAAGTTACATGTATGGCCGATGGGATGAGGCTATCTATGAAGTATTCCTTTTTTTAAACACTTTTTTTTTGAAACACAAACTAAATATGAACACTAATTTATATTTTAGAAATATTATGTTAGAAATATACTCCAAAATTACATCTAATTTTCTGCAATGATCCGAAACCATTAAATGGCATGACATATACAACTCTTGACCAAGTAGTGACAGTTCGTATAGTTACTTTAGGGTTATAACCTAACCAAATTCAGTCCGTTGTACGCTAGAGTATAAACAACGAAAAATCTTATCACCTCAGCAAATTTCTTACTAATTGAACCTCTTTTTGAAGAACACCAAATCTTATCCTTGTTCAATTATTTGTTGCTTTTCTAAAAGGAAAATAGAAAAGCCAAGGGCGCATATCTTCTTTTGAATAGTATGTCTATTTTTTTCTGAAGCCAATATCATCATGTCTATTGTCTTCTCAATTAATTATTTTCGTCTTCCATCTTTTGTTATTTATGTGTTCATTTATTTATTAGATTTATACGCTATATAACATGTAGTTATCTGAATATTGAGACCAAATTGATCAACTTCTAGTTTCTATCAGTATTAATCGGAGATCAATCCGTGTAGTTTATCTATAGGTTGGTCAGTGGTCACCATGTAGTTTTGGAATTAGGTTTAGAAAATGTTAAAGAAGATTATATTAAAAATGTAAAATATTAGAAATGTAATTTAAAAAAAAACAAAACTAAAAACAAACATAAAAATGCAAATGGGACTAATATGGGTCGATCATCATCAATGCACTGAGAAGTAAAGGAAACCAACCAAGTTGTTCCACGTCTGCTCCTTGGCCGTTACAAAAACTTTTCTCCAGAAAATCTCTTTATCTAGTTGCAGCCTCTCACGCAAACCATGCTTAATCGTCCACGCAACCATATAACGATTTCTCACCTACAAATTTGCTGATAATCATCAACAAAACAAACAAGCAAATTCTATATACAACTCTAAAAGCCATGCCAAAAATTGGCTGAAACCTCTTAAGGTTCGTTACCTTTGTTTTTGCTTCACTTATCAACTTCCCTCTTTTCAAACTATCCTCTATTTTTCCGCGAAACAATGTCACAAATATCCAAGTTAGAGTCTTCGGATCCAGAAGTCTGTGAAGGATGTTCTTCAGAGACTTCTGGACCGAAAGTCTCTGAAGGGTGTAGATCAAAAACCTTGAGTCAAATCATTATTCATGAGCTCAAGGTGCAAATGAAAATTGGTTTACCATTGGTGGCTATGAACTTGTTGTGGTTCGGTAAGCTAACCATTACATATGTGTTTCTTGGACGTCAAGGTACGCTTAACCTAGCCGGGGGTTCATTAGGCTTTTCCTTTGCAAACGTTACTGGCTTAGCTGTTTTAAACGGAATCTCAGCAGCAATGGAACCCATTTGTGGCCAAGCCTCCGGAGCCAAAAATTTTAAGCTTCTCCATAAAACCCTTTTGATGGCGATGCTCTTGCTTCTCTTGGTCTCGATTCCAATATCAATCTTGTGGCTCAATATTCACAAGATCCTTATTGCCTTTGGTCAAAATGAAGAGATTTCATTCATTGCCAAGAGATATCTCATCTACCTCCTTCCTGATTTGCCAGTACTCTCTCTGCTTTGTCCCCTTAAGGCTTACTTAAGCTCACAAGGAGTTACACTCCCCATCATGTACACCACAGCAGTAGCCACTTCTCTTCACATCCCCATCAACATATTCCTCTCTAGAGCAAATGGAATCCAAGGAGTTGCAATGGCGGTTTGGATAACCGATCTTATAGTTGTGATTCTCTTAACCGGTTATGTGATAGCATGTGAGGGGTTGAAAGAGAGGAAATGGAAAGAAGGTGGTTGGTTGGAACAAGATGGTCAAGACTGGCTTAACCTACTCAAGCTTAGTGGACCGTGTTGTCTCACCGTGTGCCTCGAGTGGTGGTGCTATGAGATCTTGGTCTTATTAGCCGGGAGGTTACCAAACCCGGTGGAAGCCGTATCCACTTTGATAATAGTACTCAACTTCGACTACATGGTCTACGCTGTGCTACTCTCGTTGGGGACATGCGTGGCTACACGAGTGTCTAATGAACTCGGCGCAAATAATCCCAAAGGAGCTTATAGAGCTGCTTACACTACACTAGTTGTGGGTGTTGTCTCGGGATGCATGGGAGCTTTAGCGATGATATCATGTAGAGGTGTTTGGGGGTCTTTGTACGCTCACCATGACCTAATAATCATAAACGGTGTGAAGAAGTTGATGTTGATAATGGCGGTTTTCGAAGTTATAAACTTCCCGGTATTGGTTTGTGGAGAGATTGTTCGTGGAACAGCAAAACCGTCGCTTGGGATGTATGCTAATCTTGGTGGGTTCTATCTATTGGCTTTGCCCTTGGGGGCAACTTTGGCGTTTAAAGCTAGACTAGGGCTTGAAGGATTCTTGATAGGGTTTTTGGTTGGAGCCTTCGTTTGTTTGTTGATATTGCTCATCTTTATTGCAAGAATTGATTGGGAGAAAGAGGCGGGTAAAGCAAAGATTCTAACGTGTAACAAAGAGGAAGAAGAGACTCCACAAGATTCAAGATAGGGTGTCTTTACAAACGTTTGAGGTCTTAATGATATTATAGTAAGTTCAAGGAGACACTCATACATGTATCTTGTTGGTAAGTCTACGTTGTGAAAGTGTTTCTTTTCTTAATGTTAATCTAGTCAGCGTAAGATTGTTTCTCTGTGCCTTCGCAAAATTAAGATTGTTTCTAGATTGTGTGCATTCAAGGATTTCATTTGAGAAAGAAAAATTATGTCGACTAAAGTAAGCCTAGATAAAATATGATAACTTCCATCAACGAAACTATAATAGTGATTCGCTTTAAAAAAGGAAAACATCACTAATAATTTAAAAGTTACATATACGGTCGATGGCTGGGGATATATATGAACAATTCATTTCACTAATTTATATTTTGGAAATATATCTTCTAAAAATACTCAGATGAACATATAATTTTCTGAAAAGATCCGAAAAAACTTAAATGGTATGATCAAATATATGAATCTTGACCAACTAGTGACAGTTAGGATAGTTATTTTAGGTTGTTTTTGAACTAACCAAATTCAGTCCGTTGTACTCTAGCTCAAAGTATAAACAACGAAAATTATTATCACCTCGCCAAATATCTGACCAACCGATTTTCTTTTCATAAAGCACAAAAATAAAAATTGAACACTATCCATAGAAAAATAATCTATATTATAATGATTCAGTTTAAAGGTTCCTTAAGGTGTCCACATAGGTAGATTGTGGGTCCCACATTTTTATATTATAATGATTCAGTTTAAAGGTTCCTTAAGGTGTCCACATAGGTAGATTGTGGGTCCCACATTTTTATATTAAATAGATAATTGTTTTAAAATGGCTACAAACAAAGAATATCAGTTTAGTCAAGTGGTCTAAGACCCTATGTTTGGTCTCTAAGGACATGGGTTCAATTCCTACCGCTCTCTTGCATAAAAACCAATTAATGTCATCATCATAAAAATATTTTTTAAACAGACATAGTCTTGGTAAGATGGTTACAAACAATGAAATACACTTTAGCCAAGTGGTATAAGGTATCTAATTAAGTATGCAAGATTGTGGGTTCAAACCACGCAGCTATCATGTATTTTTGATTTTTTTTTTATATAGGTTATTATCATATGGACTTTTTGTTTATAAGGTTCTTATGTTTTTTTTTGGGCTTATTGTTTTAAATATCAAAATAGTTGTATAAACCCTAAACCTTAATAAGTTCAAACCCAAAATAGTTAAAAATGAATCCAAAACGAATAATAAAACAACAAACAAAAAAAACAAGTCTCACGTGGTTGCCTACTCGGTTAAAACTATCCTATTATAATATAGCTCAACCCAAAAATAATAAAAAATAAATCCAAAAACGAACAGATAAAAAAAAACAAAAAAAAAGTGAATTCCACGCGGGTGCATACGTGGATGGCTTAATAAGGGTTGAATAATATAGATTAGGAGTTCAAAAAGTTAAATCATTGCACATATTTCCTAATATATATTTTCAAAAAATTTGTATGTGAGATAAAATAAAATAAAACAACAAAAATTAATTATTTTCGTTATTATTAAATGAATATATAATTTCTTTTAGGTTTTAATAACTACTATAATTTCCTTACGAATGGATTCCCACCGATTCCAGACTCCGACGAATGGATTCCCACAGTCGATGACGCCGTAGATAAAAATGCCACATCATTTATGAACAAAACTCAAACTTACAAAAAACCATATATAAAAGCCTATCTAATGAAACTTAAACAACGAATATTAAATTAATTAAGGTTATTTTCAAATTGATAAATCGTTTTAATACAAATATAGATACTATACATATAGAATTATATCAAGTTTTGATCTACGATATAAAAACTATTTACAGCAAAAAAAATACACCTACTTTTACACACTAAAAACTATATTATAGCCTAACTATTCCTATAAATCTTACTTCGCATATAAATAACATTTAACACATTCCTAATATTTTTCAAAAAAAATTGTATGTGAAATAAAATAAAATAAACAACAAAATTTAAGTAAGTTATTTATTAAATGAATATGTAATTTCTCTTACATTTTAATAACTACTATAATTTCATTGAAAACATTTCTCACCACCGACTCCAGAT